CATGAAATAATCTGTCATAAATTTGTCTTGCCTACCTCTTCTACCACGTTAAGGCACTGTTCATTAAAAGTAGAGTTATGCCCCTTTACCCACAAAGCAACCTATTATAAATATCTATACTATTATACCCTGCAGATGCAAAACTTTTATTTTGCTACATGAAAAAGTTGTACTAAAATTCTGCAAAAAAAAACCCACCACTTTCATTTTAGGTTGTTTTCCAACAAGACATCTGTTGCAATCCTTTTTTTTTTTTTTAAGCCCAGCCAGAAACTGTAGGAGGCAACCTATTCTTTTGTGGACCCAACTATTGTCTCTTAAACCAATCTCTAACAAAGCAGGCATTCACAGTTATGTTAGTTACTTTTCTTTTCTTGCTGGGACAAAATACCTGACACACAGAATTAAAGCAGTAGAGGTTTATTTAGCTCACAATTTGTGGAGGTTTCTGTCCCAGTGCAGCACTCACAAAATTTCTGTGCTATGCATTGCACAAGATGAAGACGTTTACAAAGTAAGGATCTTAGTTCCCTGTTGAGTCACTTGGTTAAGCTTCTAAACTTCTCAAAATGACACAATGTACCCATCATAACAATAGTTTTAATCTGAATCTCACAATCACTTAATAATCTAAGAACATTTATAAAGATTAATATGTAGTACTGATTGCTGAGAAAGTCATGTCTGTTTACAAATTGTGTCAAACACTTTTGAAATACATCTGAGACTAATGGTCTCATTATAGGAACATCCTTCAGTAATAAATGCCACCTGATAATCCCTTCCCACCCCATTCCTCTCTCTTTCAGCCTTTTTCCTTCCCTGTCTCCCTTTCCCTTCCCCTGAAAGACAGGAGAGAAACCATACAAAGTTTACTTGCCAGACATTTCCTCTGACAAGACAGTGCTGTTCCTTCAAGATTTGGGGACAGTAGGTCACTTTGGAGTTCAATGCCCCGGGCTGGACTGGTGTCAGTCCCCTAAAGTATGACACTCCTCACATAGCTTGGCATTTTGAAAGTCACCCTTTAGGATTGAACTACTCACCTCCTGTCCAGTCAGGTATCAGGCCTACTTTGAGTTCCTCTAGAGGCTGTAGGTAAGGAAGCAATTGCTTTTCCTGAAGGACCTTTATGGTTGGTTATTCAGAAATACTGTAACTTTCTGGAGGGTGTCTGATAACAGCCCAATGATTCTTTCCACTCAAAACACATTTAAAAACTCTAAAAACATAACCGTTGACTAGAATGTTTCTATGAAAAAAATCTCTTAATTCTAAGAGAGTTTATTTTTGTCAGGCAAAATGTGATATTTAACCTGCTTCAAAGTCTCATGAGACAATAATTATTAAGCTTCAAATACCCAGGACACACAGGAATCAGGGACTAGGGAGGGAAAACAACCTTAGATTAAGATGGCCATTTAATTCACTGCGTAAATGAGAAAATAAACAGAGATAAATTAGGAACCTGCCCCAGCATAACAAAAAATTTTGACTAGAGCTTGAGTGTTTTGATTCCCAATCAATACTTTTTGTGTCACTATCTTCTAAGCCCACCAAGAAGGAAGTACACTGAGTACACCTTCGATAACAACAAACAATTTTTCCTCCCAAACAGTGATTCAACAGAATTTCACTTCCACATTTACGAACACCACAGTCAAGTATCTTTTTGTAAAAGTGACTTTAGAGTAAGCATTTATATTATTCAATTCCTTAAGAATGGCTTACTAAGCCTGAAGAAGCATTAAATCAAAACATTAATTAAATGACAATGCTACACTATTAAATAATATTTGGTACACCATCATCAAGTCAACAATTTAATATAATGGCATACACACTACAATTTTTATTCTAAGAGAAATCATCTATTTTTTCTTAAAACAACAGATACGTTCTGAAAACAGCAGATATGTTCCAAGTATTATCTATAGCAGTCCCTACCCAGAGGCAAGTGTGGTATAAACGTTATGCTCAGAACCACCAAGAATTAAGGTGTGTTATGTACATGTATCAACCCCCATAAAGAATGCAATCATTTGTACTAGAAACAGTAATACAAATATAAATGAATAAAAGAAAATAACAATCACTAAGATCTGGGTTATTCTCAGACTGAGCCACAGAAGCCACTGACCTCACACTGCTCTGTTTTTAACCAGCCATGCTGGGCGCCCACACTGCTGTCCATATGCTTCCGTAAGTGGCACGCTCCTGCCACTAGTGCCTCTGCTGTCAACACCCCAACAGCAGGAGTGAAAACGAAAAGACAAGGCTGTTCAACTGGCAAAGCCCAACTCACTCACCTCATTAGTATTTTCCAGTACTGAGAAAAACGTACAAGACTGGGGAGAAGGCATTCAAAGCTACAATTTTAGCCTCAACAAAGGCATTACTGCTTTCAATGGAAAATAAAGATCTCAGATAATCATATTACTTCTTAAAGTGTTCTCAGCTTTGAAATAAGTAACAAGAGAAGCATAAAACAAAATTTTGAGGGAATTATTCCTATTACAAAAGCATTTCATTTTACAAAGGAATTCACAGTAGGCATGTTTAAATAATGTTGACCATTATACAACGTGGCAAAAAAAAAATGATTCGTGCTCATATTCAAAATGCTTTAAGTTAGCTATATCTCTAATAACAATACTGGCTGGTGCACCTTACAGTGACTGGGGCCCACGATGAATACGACTAAGGTGAGGCCACAGGCTGGATCCTAGAACATGTTTTTAGGTTAGAGAAGAGAAATATGCAGAATTTGTAACTGGATACAACTGTACCCTGAGATTCTCAGAGACTCAAGAATTTCAACTGTTAAAAACAGAGCTATCACTACTATGAGAAGAAATAAAGTAGACACTCTTCCAAAACCCAGGAGCATCCTCTGGCATACGTGCCTTATTAGATTATTATTCCAAACATTAATCATCAACTTTCATTTTCCATAAAGCCATTAAATCTCATCTACTTGAATCAATGACCTTAAAGAAACCAATTCTCTACATACGTGGGGCATCTCTATGCCTAAGGTTTGAGAACAGCAAGTTAAGTCGGAGAATCACACAAAGGAAGAAAAACAAACTTCCAATCTTACTACTACATCAGTTTTTTTGTTTTGTGTTCTGCTGTTTTGTTTTGTTTTGATATAAGGCTATCTCAGTCCTTACATTTTTTTTTTTCCAATCCAGGGAACAGCCTGGCATTGGTATGGAGAGGAATGTCAGGAAAATGCAGCACTCTGCACAGAGTTCTCCAGCTGCCGTACAGTACGGTAGCTCTTCAAAAGATAGGGACCGAAGACTGCCTTCAGATGCATTAGCTACCTGAAGGTGAAGCCAGCCTGAATGTATCTGGCAGACTTACCAGATCCCATTCGGCACGTGATCTGTGCTATAACATGTTAACGCAGAGCAACCTGCTGTTCCTGCCAGAGCACTTGGCTTCGGAAAGGCTACAAGATAAGACAAGACTTCCTATTTTCTGTAAGTAAACATTTAGTAAACATTTGTCCTAGAGCAAGGCTAAACCTGCAGACACACCCACTTTTTCACTGTGTCAGCACTGGACAGGGTCAATGACATATCTGCATTGGATCGCAATCATTTTAAAAAGTGTTTTTTACTCTATTCTTTTGTGTATGTCAGTTTCAGTAGTTCAGTTTAGTTCTTCAGCAGTAATACTGTCCACCGAAAAATACACCTTCCTTGATTAACAAAGCGTACCTTTTGTTCCCAGGAGCTTTGTTGCTATTTCCAGCAACAAATGATACAAAAGATATAATCTCCCATCTCCAATAGTAATAGTAAGCAAGCAAGGAGATAATGGAGCAAAAGCTTAAACAAAACCAAGGTGAGCTGCAGGCAGGAAGCGAGGTGGAAGGGAAGTGTTCCTTCGTGGGTTTTGTTTTGCGGTGCTGGGGATGGTACTCCCGGCCTCACAAGTGCTGGGCAGCAGCACCGTCACTGAACTACACCCCCAAGCCTGGAAGATGGAAATTTGTGATCTAAGAAATTCAGCCTTTCCTGTTGAATGTGGGCCGGGGAGGAAAAAGGGGAAGGTGACGTTTTCAGTTAAGAAAAAGACAGAAGTGTGTACTGCTGTCTCAGTTTTGTTTCAATACGTAAATACACACAGTAGCAAAATCTAGTTTAAACTAACGCTGGTTCAGTGACAGTGAGATAAGTTTGTTCGTGATACAATGGATTTATCTGCCCAAACTGAAGAATTAAATCAAAAACTGCATGACAGTCCTCTAAATCATCTTAAGTGTGCTCTGGCACCCAACATAAGTTTACGATTATTCACAGGGTGCAACTACCCATTGCACGATCATTCTGCAGAATGTGCAACCACCCTATCCTAACCTCTTTAAAAGAAACCGCTAATGACGTGGAGTGCTACTGTCAACTGTTTCTCAAGACTGCGGGCCTGACTCTCAGAGTGACGGGTGGCAACCCAAAAGCGCCCAGAAGCACTGAAGTGCCTCTTTGGTGAATTCTGCGGCACAGTCCCAACAATCCGTAAGCCGGGTGTAGAGAGCCCAGAAGCGTGCGCGGCTGTTCCTTCCTCCCGGGCCCGTCCCGAACGTGCCCGCGGTCCTGTGGGTGGCGGCGAGCCCCGCCGGGAAAACCCAGTCCCGGCGCGCACAGTGCGGCGCCGCGGGGAGGCTGAGCCCGCCGGGTGCCGCGCGTCCCACGGCCGCGGCTCACCTTTGTTCGCCTGCCCTCCCGGCGAGGGGGCAGAGCCTGCCGAGGAGGACTGCGAGGGGCGCCCCTGACGCTAGGCGCACCCGGGCGGACGGCCATCAGCCCCTCCCCCGAACACAAAGGTTAGGAGTTGTGAGCGCGAGCGCGGGGGGCGCGGGGGCGTGCGCCTCGGAGCACGCGAGTGTGCGTGTGCGCGGGAGTGGGGTGTGTGTGTGTGTGTGTGTGTGTGTGTGTGTGCGTGCGCGCGCGCAGGGGGAGGGGAGGAGGTGCTCCAGCCCTTCTTACCTCTCGAAGATGAGCCGCACCATGAAGATGCAGAAGGCCAGCGGGAAGGCGAGGTAGAGGTCCTCAGCCTGGGGGAAGGTGGCTTCCTCCGTGTTCTTCAGGTCTGCCCAGGTGACATTGTGCGGGAGCCAAAACCTCTCGTTCCAGAACCAGGCTAAGATCCCTGCCATCTTGCTTTGTCCAGTCCTGTCCGGTGGCTCCCAGGCCCACCGAGCTCTCCTCTGCGCAGGGCGCCCGGGGATGCGCGCCTGGCTGGCCCCAAGCCGGTGCCGCCGCCGCCGCCGCTCGCGCCCGCCGCTGCCGCCTCCTCCGCGGCCGCTGCTCTCGAAGGCTCGCGGCGAACCCCGGTTCTCTCCTCCCTCTGGCCGCGCTGAGAAAGGGGCCGCCTCGCCCGTCACATGGCAGCCCCGGCAGCTCGCCCTGATTGGCTCGTCCCCGCGTCAAGTAGCCAGGCACACGCGGCCAGCTCCCCGGCGCCGGAGGGCAGGGCGCAGCCGAGTGCCCCAGGCGAGGGCCGCGGCTCCCTGCCTGGAGAGCGCTGCCCGCCCTCGGCTCGCCGCGCTCCCGCCCGGCTCCTGCGGTGGAGACCTGGAGGGGGCCCCCAAATTCCGCCCCAGCCCCCAAGTTTGCTCGCACATGCTCAGAACGCCGGCTCCTGCCCCACTGGAGTTTAAGGGCTCTCATCCGCTTCCCGTGCGCCGAGGCAGTGGGGATCGGGGCCACGCTGGGCTTCAGAACCAGCACTGCAGAAAGAGTGACAGCAAGGGGAGAAGTGGGGACGCAGAGGCCAGAGAGCCAAAGGAGGAGGGCAAAGATCGTCGGGACGCCCAGAGAGGGGTGAAAATCGGAAACGGGTGGAGTGGTTTAGTGAGAGACTAATGCCTCAGCTGCAGACCTGTCTTTCCCTTTCTTTGACCTTCCGACCCTTTTATACTACTGCTTTCCATCAAACCAGCTCTAGGGGAACAAGGCCCTTTATTTTAGGTTACGAGGTTCCACGAGAAATTAAGCACTTAATTGCCCTTTATTACTATTTGATGATCGCAGTGATGATAATGATCGCATTCTTAAAACTGCTTCTTCCCACGAACCTCTCTAAAAGTGCTGCTGGACTACATTTTGGCAGATTGTATTTGTAAGCTTTCCAGTTGCTGGACATAATACCAGACACAATTTAAAGGAGAATAACCTTTGATTTACCTCTTGGTTTGGGGGAATTGCATCTGTAGTCAGCAGGTGGCAAAGGCAGGAACATTGATGCTGAAGGACATGAAAGAACAAAGTTGGTTTAAGTTCCTGGGCATCCAGGGTGTAGAGCAGGGCAAGGGGGCCTGAGGAGGACAGCTAGAGACCACACACTGCGTAGTACCTACGATCATTATTTCTTCCTTTACCTATGAAACGTTTTAGGCCTTAGGTCTGTGGGACACAACTCCAGCATTACTCACACCATATATTTCTCCACTGATTCAAGACCTATAGTTCAATTAATGCCCTTGCCTTTGTGGACATAGTCCCTGGGGATACTCCGCTCATTTTTCTCAGTGTCATTAATTTTTTGCTTAGTTCTGCCAGTAATTTCTACAGACTTTAGGAGCTGTCTTTAGGAGGTAAGAATGACCTGTCTTTGTCCCTCTGGTTGTCTATTGAACCTTCGTTGGCCATTTGGCTCTTCCACAATACTACTGAAACAGCTCATGTCCAGTGATCTCCATGCTGCTGAACAGCAGAGTTAGACCTTGTTTTAGTGCAGACTGCTTAGACTGGTGACTTAAATAACTAACATTCACTGCCCACACTTTCGGAGTCTGGAGACTTATGATCAAGGTACCTGCAGATTTGGTGTATGGTAAGGGCTGTCTTGCTGCTTCACAGATGGCTGTCTTCTTCCCATGTCAGAGCACAGAATGAGCAAGCAGGTACTCATGTATTTTCTCACCAAAGCACCAAGTCCTTTCATGAGGGCCCTACCCTCATAAACTTATTACCTCCCCAAACACCCTCCTGTTGAGGCCCAGGCTTTCAACATGTGAATTTGAGGAGGGTAAAAACATTCAATCCATTGCAGTTCTAACCCCTCTATCAGAAGCTTTTGGTCTACCTGGTCGGTTCCTCACAAAACATTCTTTTCAAGGCTTCTAGAAAGCACATTCTCCTGATGGTTTCTTCCTTTCTCCTTCCTGGCCACTTCTGCTCAATCTCCTTTTGGGTTACTCTTCACCTTCCTAATCCCTAAGAGGTAGACAAGGCCCAGGAGTCAAGCTTTCATCCGCATCACATTTCCACCTGCACACATCTACTTGGTGATGTTATCCAGTCCTGAGGCTTTTGGTCGCATCTGCACAGCTTTCCATGCCACACTAATGACACCCATATTTAGATCTCTACCCATGAACTTCTCCCTGCGCTTCAGCCTCCTAAATCCATTGTGAACTCAACACCTCTACCATCTCATGGCCAAATTACCAGTCTCTAAAATCTGCCTCTTCTATAGATCTTGCTTCAGCCAAAAATATAGTCATTTTCCCTTTTCTTCCCTTTTCTGTTTCTAATTCCTTTTCTAGTCATCACAAATCCTGTCAACATCATTTTTAAAAAATGATCTCACAACCTCTTCTGCTACCATCTGATTCCACACAACCCACATTTCTCACCTGAATTATTCCAAGAACCTCCAATCTCCCACTTTCTAGGTTTGGGCCTCTGCAGCCTATTCTGTTCCAGAGTGATCCTATCACAGGGTGAGTCAGATTGCTTCAGAATTCAAAGTGGAGACCCACTCCTCCATCCTTCCCCAGGAGGAAGCTAAAACCTTTACAGTGTCCTAAGATATTTGGCTCCATATTCTCTCTGACCTCATCAGGCTCTCTCCTCTCCCTGTGCTTTGGTTTCTAGCCTCCTTGCCCTTCCTGGAATACATGGCCATGCCTTCAAGCTTTTCTCTCTCCTTGGAACTCTTTTCCCTCAAATATTCATGCCTACTTTTTCTTTAATGTTGCAGTGAACCCTTCACTGGCTACCCTAGATAAACCCTCACTCCTCAAAGCATTCTTCAGCATCAACATAATTTGTGTTTTATTTATTGCTTTCCTTCCTCCTCCACACACAAATGTAAACTTGAAAAAGTTGGAAATGTTTGTCCACGTTAGCCACTCTTTTATCAACAGCACTTAAAAAGTGCCTGGAACGTAGAGATACCCAATAAACTATTGAATTAATGAATGAGTCCACTTTATTCCAACCTCAGGAGCTTCTCCAGTGGAGGAAAAGCCTAAATAACTGTGTTCAATGTGTATATATACATGGTGGACACATGGGAAGAATAATGTGGATATAAGGAATTGGTCTATTTTGGGGTGAGCAGGGAATCATTGAAGTGAGTCATCTTTAAAGAGAAAATGTCACCAACATCATTCCAGATCATGTGGTCAGCAGCTTACTGTTACGGATGACCCTGGGGAAGATGCCATGTGATCACTCAACTGTGTTATTGTAGAACAGATGGAGATTTGTTAATTCCGTCACCAGTTTGTGGCAGATCATGTCTGGCCTAGCTTCTGGGCCAACCTCTCATATCCATTGCTCATAGTGCCCTCCTCTCACTCCATTTGTCCTGTCTGATAGTACCTTGTCTCCTGTCCCGGGGGTTCTGTGCTGCCCAGGAGCTGCTGCTTCCCTCAAGTGGATACCACATGGAGTGTTGGCAAGTTGATGCCAAAGAGCCTGATCTTTGAGAACAGACAGTAGACGCTATGGGTGCATTTTTACTTCTTTCCTTTCCCTTCAGTCCTTACCTTGGACTTGGAACAGAGACACCATGCAGTGGTGTCAATCAGCTTATTTCACGGTTTTGATGAGCTCAGTAACTCATGGTCTATGTTTCCTCCCCTGCTTGTCTGTCTCACTCACTTGGTCCCTTATTCCTGCTTCCCTGAAACCGTGCTTCCGTGGAGCTTTTTATTCTAGAGCAGCCAAAGTAATAGGAAAGCAGAAGACAGTGCTGCGACTCTGTCACTCAACCAACTATGTCACTGTGGTGGGATCTTAGGAACATTTCAAAAGATGGATTTCACTGAGCCATTGAAGGAAATGTTAGGATTTATTTGGGATTCTTACTCAAGTCACTTAGTTTCTAAGAGCATCTCAATGCCCTCCTGTGTAAGTTACGTAACAGTAGTTTCTGTCTTGCCCCTGGCGCTTGTCATGAAACTCACAGGAGATAAAATATGAGGAAAAGCCTGCAAACTATTGACCTCTGTGCCCATGTACCATACAGCAAACATCCAGTGTTTTATCAGTCTAGATACCTCCGTCAAGCAAGGGCAGCATCCTACCATCTTCCATTCCAGTGATTGCCCCCCGAGAGCCAGTAGAGTGAATTATCATTCTGTATCTGATCACACTTTATTGATCCAATGATTGGCACAACATAGCAATTGAAGTCTTTCTTTGGATGCACTGATCAGATCAGGGGATATTTCTATGGACATCTGGACTCAAGGATTTCAAATATTTCAAATGTCAGTCCCTATACTTCATGATGCAACTGGAAAAATTAGAAGCCAAGCTGCCCTTAGGAAGAATAAAATAGATATGTACAGTTCACTGAAAGCCCTAGACACAGAGTCCTCTTGGTATCTAAGTTCCACGTTCCCCACAGTACCTGGGGCTGACTGCCTTCCCGTAGTTAGGGTCTACAATCAGCATATTTTCATGTTCAGTCCCCTTTTGGGTTGAGTTGCTATTTTAGTGCAAAAAATTCCCCCTCTCCAAGGCATAACTGAAGCCTACATGTCTCTGATACTGATGACCTGAGCTCAGACCGTAGGGAAGATCAGTCACAGGAAGGACACAGCATAGCCACCTTCCAAGAAAGCCACTTTACAGCTGGGCAGAAGGCTTTGTCACCCCTGTAAACCTAAATATGACCTATGCATCAGACAAATAGATTGGACCTGGAATGTGGAGAGGAATATGAGAACATATCCTTTTTCCCAGGCAACTGGAAAATATCAGCAAAACTAAGCTTTATTTCTGTCAGGCTCACACCCACATCTTAGTTCTTCCACATACATTTGAGTCCACCCCACAGGGAATCATCACTTGGATGCAGGAGGACAGCCAGAAATTTTGGTGAATTTCCACTGTGAGTTGTATAACACAAAATTGTTGTACTCATTCTACAAAAAGAAACCAAAATCAATTTGAGGAGCAGCTTGTGCTCACATGAAAAGCCAGATAGCAGTATACACCAGCACTACTCAAGATGGCCCCAGACTTTGGCTAAGTGCCCACGTACTCAGATAACAAGGGTTTCCTGC